ATGCTATTGCCACTGCTCTGCCCCAGTTCTTGATGGGATAACTGGTTCCTGGTCCCCTCCCTGCTCTCTTCCACAGCCTAAGCAGGAGAACAGGGAGCTGGGCCCAGAGCTAGGACAAGGCAGCACCCCACTTTGCTTCAGTCTCTGGTTTCTGCTTCCAATTCCTGCTGGCTCCAACACTGATCCTGGCCTTGGCCCTATCTTTATTTCCTCCTTCTAGAATCACCAGGTAGAGGCTACCTTTGTTCCCTGTTGCAACTCTGATGGGCTCCAACTGTATATTAGCGATGATGATTTTGCCTTCCCCTGGAGGGTTGCTGGGCACCTTGGACTAGTTTCTTCTCTGCCCATCTCCTAAGAGGGCTTTGTCTCCTAATCCAGCTCCAGCAGACTACTGGCTATCAGGCTAGTGTCAGTCCAAGCACTGCCAGGCTCCTCAGCCCCTTCACCTCATTAAGAGACATTTCCACTCCTGTTGGGAGCCAGCTTCATTCTCTGCTGGCACTCCAGCAGTTTGGGGCTGAGATCTCAGAGTCTTCTGGCCCTTTGTACTGGAGATTCTGTTGCCTTTGGCATACTCCTTGCTTCTTTTGTAATTCCTTGTCTGGTCAAGAATTCATCTCCGACCTAAAAACTCAAACACTTTAGGATAAATTTTAGCATCAATCATCATGCATCCCTCAGTACACAATGATGGGCCTAGAGGGGTGAAAAAAGCCCCATAAGAATCAGCCATTTCCCACTGCTTAGGTAATTCTTGGTATCTCTGCATGGTAGATATCTAGGTGGCACAGTGGATAGTGTGCTAAGCCTGGAGTCAGGAAGATTCATCTTTCTGAATACAAATCCAGCCTCAGATACTTACCAGCTGAGTGACCCTGAGCAAGTCACTTAACTCTGTTTGTCTTAGTTTCCTTATCTGTAAAATGAACTGGAGAAGGAACTGTCAAACCACTCCAGGATCTTTGTCAAGAAAACCCTAAATGGGGTCACAAAGAGTCAGACAGGATTGAAGAATATCAAACAACTGCATTGTAGTGAGAGGAGAGGGGAGGGTTTTTAAAGAAAACAGTGAAGAGCTTTAGTCTGTGAACTGATTCAGAGGACCCTAAAAGCCCCTTATTGATTCTCCTCCTTTTCCATAGCACCCACTTTAAATCTAGCAACAAACATTAAGCCCACCACATGAAACTCAAATACTAGAAAACTAGTCTAAACTGAAAAACTAGAAAGGGTAGGGGGTTATAGGGACTGTTAAACTGAATGCCACAGTTTATTTCATCATGTCTGCTTTGTGGCTTCCATAACCTTTCTTATTAAGTAAGGACACGTTTGCTTTTTAGAATTTTGTGATTACAAGTGTTATCTAGGCTTTGCGGAATGTAAACACGAATCAGTTTTGTTTGCTATAGAATATACATCCATATCCACATTTATATTCATAATTGAGACCTTTTACCCTGTTAGGATTTCTGGGTATGGGAAGTTTATTCTCTTCCTCAACAAAATTTGAGTCAGTATTCATGTGTAGAATCACAGAGGAAAAAAGTTCTAAGTACCTCCGATAGAGGCCTTTGATCCTTGCTGGAAACAACCCAAGTCCATTCTCCTGGAATTTACCATATGATTTAGAGGTAACTCAGTGGGAGGAGACTCGGGCTCATATAATTAACAGGCTACCGTCTTGTCTACCCATGCAGTTTTAATTGTTTCTCACTTTCTTTTGCTTTTACCCTAGAACCAGCTTCAGTCTCCCTCCTTTTCAGCTCCTGTTATATGTCATAAATAAATATTCACCTTCCCAAACAGCCTCATAGCAACTGGGATCATGGATGATATCTTCTACATCCCCCCTCGTTAGCTGAATTTTGAATAAAACTGGGGGACATTCTAATCCTATATTCTATATTCTAAATGTTGATTGATTGATTATTCCCCTCAACCAATACTATGCTCAAGGATGTAGAATGGAGATTTAACAAAATATCTTGACCCTCAGTCAATCATCATCCTGGATCACCACACTCCTTACCTCACACCCCCCAAAAACAGAAAAGAAAGGAGCATCTGCAACGCATGTCAGAGATGGATTTTTTTTTTTTTGGAGACTGGGTCTCCCTATCTTCTCGAGGCAGGAAGTGCAGTGACCTCATAGTCTGATCCCACTGCTGATTTATTTCATTTCTGATCTGGGTAGGGCCTCTTGTTAGGCAATCTGCTCCTGGGGGGGGGGGGGCCTAGCATATTGATGCCAGACTTAGTGTGGACACCTGATCAACTTAGTCCATCAAAGCTCAGAACTCCTGTGCTCAAGTGATCCACCAGCCTCACCCTTATACAAGCCTTACCTTCTCTGGGAGTGGGATTACAGGTATGTACCTCCCCACTTGAATGACTTTTCTTATATGGAAAAAGGAAAGTTGGGAAGCCATCTTGGACTTCCACACCAGCTCCCCAATCTGGATGCATATTTGGAGGGCAATAGCATACCAGTCTGGACTCTAGTCAGCTGCAAAGAATATCCTTTAATGAATCTTTTTTAGACATGTAAGTCATATGTGAGCTTTGTCCTTTCCCTTTTTTTACTGCAGATGGTGAGTTACCAAGTAATCTCTCACCTGGAGAGGTCTTTGCTGACAAATCTAAGCACTCACACAGAGTTTTCAGCTGCTGTTGCAGACTTAATTTGGTCCCTAGATTTTTTTCTTTTAAAATTAAAAGCATCCTCATAATTGAAAAGCTTTAGAACCACTGGACTAGGTGATCACTAAGGACTTTTCCAGCTCTAGCAGTCTATAATTCTATGGTCTTTTGGGGACTTGTGGTTTCATTAGGATAGCAAATAGTCAGTGTGGAAACTTCTTCCACCAGATACAGACAGCAACTCTTCTGTAAATTATAGTTTTAGAGGATGGCCTAGGGAACTGAGAGGTTGTGACTTGCCCAGGGACACACATATGCGTAATGGACAGGACTTAAAACTAAGTCTTGGACAGCTAGGTCTTGATAGAACATGGGCCCAGAAGTCAGGAGGACCTGAATTCAAATCTGATTTCAGACACTTACTAGCTATGGGACTGTAGGCAAGTCACTTAACCCCTTGCCTCCCTCCACCAAAAAAACAAAAAACAAGTCTTACAATTTTAAGGCTGGTCTTCCATCGCCTAAACCTTGCTGACTGAAACAATTTTTAAATAAAATAAGGCTACTAAAAGTGCCTGTTGTCATTAAATTAATCATTCAACACACATTTTTAAAGCAACTATGTCCAATTCACTGGGCTGAGTGGGGATGGGGGTGGGGAGACGTACAGAGAAAAAATAAGGTATTAACAATAATCTAGCTTTTAACCACAATAGCTTCTTCTGCAGTTGGAGGAAATATGTTCTCTTCCTTTGAACTGATTTCTTCTAAGTTAGTAAAATGAGAACTGAGAAGTCAGGAAACCTCATCATTTTCTGTGAATCTGTAAGTAAACAGGAAGAGACAGGCAGCTGAATTAGATGTATAACCTAATGTTTTAGCTTCATGCTAACATTTCAAATTTCATGTTACCTAGTATGAAGTAGTTCATAGATGCAGAAAGGGACGAGACCTTAGACATTATCTTATCCAACATTCCTTGTTTTACAGGTTAGGAAACTGAGGTTTAGGGACATTAAGTACCTGGCCCAAGTTCACAACCCTAGAAGAAACAGCCAGAATCTGAAGTACTGACTTCAAATCCAGTGCTTTCTCCACTATAATATGCTGCCTTCCCCACTCCCCCTCCTTATTTAAAATACACACACTTCAAACTTTTAACAAAATTAGCCGAAAATATCTACATCTCTGTTTTGTTAAAATACTGTCAAAGAAAAACATCAAAAATATATCACCTTATAGTCTCAAATAAAACAATGTTCTGTTTAACAGACTTAGGCTTGATATGAAGAGAACTTTCCAACAATTAGAGCTGACTAAAAAATGGAGAGAGTGATCATAAAGATAATGGACAGCCACTGGTCAAGAATTGTGCTTTGAGTAGGGCCTGGACTAAATGACCACTAAAGTCCTTCCAACCCCCAAATTCCAGGCATTTAGAATAGTCCGGGGGCAGCTAGATGGCGCAGTGGATACAGCACCAGCCCTGGATTCAGGAAGACCCGAGTTCAAATTTGGCCTCAGATACTTGACACTTATTAGCTGTGTGATCCAAGGCAAGTCACTTCACCCCATTGCCTCGGGGGAAAAAAAAGAAAGAACAGTCCGTGCCTCCTCACCCACCCCCCAGTTCACTAATTCAGATATTGGAGAGCACAGAAAATAGTTCAATGTAGTTCAAACAGATCAATCTGTCAACCTTTGCATCATCTTACAAGATATTAGATTTAGAGTTGACAGGGACCCTAGAGGCACCTCTTCTCTTGCCCCTGGATGTCAGAGGCAGCATTTGAACTGTGGTCCTAGGACTCCAAATCCAGCGCTCTCTTTCCAGTAATGTGACATTCTGCTAACCAGAGCCAGGGGGCTATTGCTGTATTGTGCTGTGTGTTGTTTTTGTTTTGGGAAGATGTGGTGGAAGGAAAAGGGCTAGGACGAGTTACAGATGCAGAGAAAAATTGGCCTGAGGCTCCCTGAGGAGTCCCATAAAAACGAATAAAGTAAAGTGATGCCTGAGCGTCTCAAAACATAGCAGCCGTTCGCAAAACTGACACGAAGCCTCCGACGCAAGCTCGTAATAACTCCCCAGCTCCCCCGCCCCCGGCAATTCACAATCACGTGCCAGGCCCTTTCCGCCTCATTCTGGGACTGCCCCGATCGGGGTTCGCTATTTTGATTGGTCCCGTCTCTGGCCCCACCCTCAGCTCTTAGAGTCACGAGTTTTCCCAGGGCCCGCCCCCGCTTCCCTGCCGATTGGGCCTCGGCTCGGAGCAACGAGACTGCCGATTGGCAGACCCTCCTTCTCCCCTACTCCCTTCACCTTATAGGGGCGGGGTTTCCGCTTCCGCCCCTCGCCCCTTACTACCACCAGCAGCACCTCAGTGGCCGCCGACCTCCGTCCCTGATCGCGTTCGCTCCCCCGGTCCTGCTCCCTGCCCGCCCGCTCCGGCCCTGTGCGCCATGGCTGAGGTAGATCCGTTCGGTGCGGCCGCCGCCCCGGCCCCTGCCCCAGGAGGTCCCGCAGTGGGTAACGGGGTGGCGAGCGGCGGCAGCAGCGAGGAAGATCCGGCCGCGGCCTTCCTAGCCCAGCAGGAGAGCGAGATCGCGGGCATCGAGAACGACGAGGGCTTCAGCATCCTTGACAGCGGCAGTGTGCCCGCCTCCCTGCAAGGGGAGCCCCCCGGGGGCCCGGGTAAGAGCCGGGCCGGCCCGCCGAGGGAGGGGGCTGCCTGTCCCGGCTGGGTTTCACCCCCTTCCGCCTCCCGGTGCTCCCGCGGGGTGGGCGGGGGAGGGGAGGGGAGCTATCGCGGAGCGCCCCCCCCCGGGCCGGGCCGAGGCTGGTATAGGAGAGGAGAGGAGGCCGGGGCACGAAGAACCGAGGGAGGGAGGCAGGCAGGCGTACAAGCTCATGCCATCCTGGCATTGCACTCGCAGGGGAGGAGGTTCCTGCTTGGGGCTAACTACGGGGAATTTGGTGGTGAGCTGGCCACAGGGTTTTGAGGAAGGTGGCATTGTTAGCAGGAAATGACAAAAATAGCCTGGGCTGAACTGGTGTGTAGCTGAGAGATGGGATTAATTTGAAGGGGTCGGAGAGGATATTTAGTGCATTTGGAGCCGTGAAACCCGAGTTTCATAGAGCTAGAAAGAACAATGGTGATTTTGTCCATTTTCCCTTATGAGGGAATTGAAATCTAGAGAAGCAGTGACCTGCTCAAAGTTATGCAGCGGTTACTAGAGGAGCCGGGACAAAGAAATAAAGGCTTTTGACTCTGAGTCCGATGCTACTTCTGTATCTAATTTTTGAATGATCAGTCAAAAGAACAATTTCATCTCTTCACCAACGGAAGAGACTAGCAGGAGGATATTATATGGTTGAACTTGAGTAGCCTATTAGCACCCAAGATGTTAAAAGAACAAGGAAGATTGCCTCCAGCATTTTTGGTAGGTCTTCCTAGGCAGATTGTATGAACAAGAAGTGTTCAGGAAGGTTGTGTAGAGGAGTTTCAGACAGCATCTTGGAAAATGTAGTTTTCCAAGGAACCCGGTTCAGTTCCATAAACATTCAATGCCTACTTTGTGAAAAGCATTGCACTGGTAGTGATAACAAAATTTTACCTTCATGGATCTTATAGTCCAATAAGTCCAATAAGAAACTTACTGGGATAGCTGCAATAGGGAAGTTCTAGAGAAGTCTAAAAGTGTTTTGAGGGTTGGGGATTCCTGACACCCAGTTTCTCAACCTATGAGTCATCTTTGATTTTTTTTTTCTTACCCTTTTTCTCTAGTTATCAGATTCTATCCGTTTTAGCTCCTCAGTATCCCTTCATCATTCTCTCTTCACTCATTGATCCCCCATCACATTTACTTAGATCATTGCAATAGCTGTCTAATTGGAACCCCTGTATCAAATCTCTACTTTCTCCACAGAGCTCCAGGCATAGGGCAAAAAAGTGCAACAAACATTTTATCAAGCATTTGCTATCTGCCAAGTACTCTTCTTAGCACTGGGGATACAAATATAAGCAAAAAGACAGTCATTGTTCTCAAAGATCTTACATTCTAATGTGAGAAGACAATACAAAATGGAAAAGGAAAGTGAACAGAAAAAATAGCGGAGTTTGGGTATGATATCAAAGACCTCAGAGTCAGAAGCAAATCCAGGAGGGAGATGAAGTATGGCCAACCTGGGTTCATTGCCAAAATTGGAGTCCCAGGAAGAACTCGCCCATGGAAGTAGGATAACAAAGCCATGTGCTAGGTGCTGAGACCAAACAGTAAAAATTGACAGTTGAGAAGCTTGCTTTCCACTGCGGATTGAAAATTGTAAGCAAATAAATAGAAAGTACTGTAATTTGAATGAGAGCCACTGATGTTGAACCTTGAGGGAAAATTAGCCTCTGAGAGAAAGGCATAGAAAGTACATCCCAGGCACAGGAGACTGTTTGTGAAAATGCGTAGAGGCAGGAGATGAGTTGAGTTCAGGAAAGAGCTAGTAGGTCAGATTGGAATATAAAATGCATTAAATAGAAAAGTATGAAACAAGAGAGGAAAAGTAGGTTAGAACAAGATTGTAGAGGGCTTTAAATATCAAAATGAGGAGTTTGTGTTTTACCTTGGATGCAAGGAACAACTGAATGATTTTGAGCAGAGGGAGTAATGTGATCAAAGATCTGTTTCTTTGGAAAACTTACCTGGAGGATTGATTGGAGTGCCCGGACACTGAAAGCAGCACAGCCATCTTTTCAAGGAAGCTTCTCTACCAGAAGCTCCCAATACCAGTGACATCATAGTTCTATTCCCCCTCCCCCTACTTCCCCCAATGCAAAAGGCTAGGATCTCAGTGTTAGTAGAGGGGAGGGAGCAGATGGAACTTGACAACTGACTGAATGGGATTAAGGAGCCAGAGTACTTGAGGATGAATCTGAGGTTTCAGATTCATCTGAGGTGGGAGAACTGTGATACATTCAAAAGAAATAGGGAAGTTAAGAATTCTGTTTTGGATATCTAGCCCGTTATTAATTAATAATACATGGTAGACATTCAGGATATCAAGGCTAGATAGGTAGATTTGGGAGTCACTTGCAAAGAAATTATGTTTGAACTTTTAGAAACTGATAACACTTCCTGGGGATGGAATAGAGAGACAGAAGAGGGTCCAGGACAAAGCCCTGGGGAGCATTCATGCTGAGAAGACTGGTTATAGATGACGATCCAGCAAAGGATACTAAGGATTAGTTGGCTGAGTAGGCAGAGAACTAGGAGAGGTCAGTGGAAGCTGAAAGAGAAGGAGGGATTGACTGTTCTGATCTTCAGTAAGGTCAAGGAGGATGAGGACTGAGAAAAGGCTATCAAATTTAGCAGTTAGGTGATGGTTATTAACTTTTGGGGTATAGTTGCAGAGTTAGCTTTAGTTAGAGTTGCAGAGAATAGGTGTGTGGTGAGGTTGGAAGCCAGATTACAATGGGTTGAAAAGTTAATGGGGGACTTGACTCCTCTTAAGGATACTTAAGTCCCTGTGTTATCAGGTTAGGGTGCTGGGGATTTGATGACAAAAATGAAACAATCCTTGCCCTTGAGGAGCTTAAATTATACCAGGGGAGACATATGTAAATATATACAAAATAAATATGCAGTGAATTTTAGAGGGGTAGGTGACTGAGGAAACTCAAAGGATTCATGTAGAATAGGGATTCTTAACTTTTTTTATGCACTCGTTTGGTGAAATTTATGGACCTCTTCTCAATTATGTTTTGAAGAGCATAAAATAAAACAAGATTACAAAGGAGAACAATTAAATTGAAATATAATTATCACTATTTTAAAAAACAAGTTAACATACCCCAGGTTAGTAGTCTCTGATGTTAAAAGTGTTACTTGAACAGATTATGAAAGAAAAAGCTTTGTGAGGAGCAGAGTGTTCTGTGCTGAGACTTGGTTAATACTCACCATTGGTGTTCACTGAAGAAGTAGTGTCAGAGTGGGTAGAGTGCTGGGCCTGGACTCAAGAAAACTCATCTTCCTGAGTTCCGATGTGACCTCAGACACTAGCAGTGTGAGCCTGGGCAAGTCACTTAACACTATTTGCTTCAGTTTCCTCATCTGTAAAATGAACTGAAGAAGGAAATGGCAAACCACTCCAGTTTCTTTACCAAGAAAACCCCAAATAGGGTTATAAAGAGTTGGACACAACTGAAAAACGACTAAACAACAGAAGAACTAGATAAGATAAGGATTATTCCTTTTCCCCACAGGAAAAAAGGCAGGAAATGACTGGGAAGGTGTGTTATCTTATAGGAAGAGGTTAGTTTTAGGAAGTGGGTTGTCAACAGAATTAAAGGAGGTTGATGAAAAATTTTCAGCTAGCAGCAATTAGAGTTGAGTGATAGAAGATACAGTGAGATTTCTGGTGGTTAAAGAAGGAGTGAGTGCCAACTTCTGAGACACGAGAGCAACATGATGGAGGACTAAACCTCTCCAAAACAGAAATTGTGTCCTAAAGATAAAGTGACTTCCACTGTCTCCGAGACCTTGAACACCCAGGAACTAAAAATAGATTTAACAAAACAAAAAACAACCTCCTGCCCAAACCCGTGAACTAGCTGATGCCCACTGACCCTTAATTCAGTCAGCAACCCTTCACTCCATCTGCACTAGCAGTAAGTGCCAAGATGAGGAAATATGGATTTTTGATTTGAAGAAAGGCCTCCTTTCACTGTAGAGGACACTTAGGATTATTGTGCTGAAAGGGACCTTAGAAGTCATTCATTCTAACATAGGAAACTAAGGCTCAGAAAGACTAAAGCAAGAAGGAATAGACCTTGGATTCAGACCTGTGGCTCCTGATCCAGTGCTTTGGGCTACCCCAAGTAATGGTGAAGGAAAACCATGAAGGCCAGGTAGTTGTAAAAAGACAGGAGATGGCATCTGTCACTTGCAGAACTTTAGCTGTATGTATTGATTGCCTTGTTTGTTGAGTCTCAGAGCTAACCTCTGAACAATTTCCTATTATGGTGTCTGGTGATTAGTGTGTGTGGTTAGAACACAATGCTTTTAACTCGAGGGTTCCAGATTGTTTCTGTGAGGTCCAGGGCACCTCTACCTTGACAAGCTTTCCCAAATGTGTTCTTGTCTAATTATAAGAGGGACTAAGTAAAAGTACGTTGATGGATCAGTACTATATGTGCTCATCCTCAATACTTAGTAAACAGCTCAAAGTATGATTTTAGGCCTTTGTGTATGTGGGATATAACATTTTTTTCATTTACTAGAGGGTTCAGCATGGGTTGCAGTGTTGTGAAAAGTTTGGTATGGTGTTGTGGATGTTCTTAGACTAGTAAGCATTAACTATTAGCATCTGTTAACTGGAATGTAATATAAAAGCGAAACCAAATTTCCAGTTTGAATTTTTTTTTTAAAGAATGCTAAGGCAGGGCAGCTAGATGGCACAGTGGCTTGGAGTCAGGAGGACCTGAGTTCAAATCCTGCCTCAGACACTTGACACTTACTATGTGTGTGACCCTGAGCAAGTCACTTAACCCTGATTGCCTCACCAAGAAGCAAAAACAAAACAGAAAAAGAATGCATAAGGCAGAATTGAGGAGGTTCAACAAAACAAGTTTCCAGTTATTATGGTTTTGAGAAATGGGAACTTTTAGGTTGATGCTCTTTAGTCAAGAACAGAGAAGCAGCCAC